GCATGCATCATGTACCTTAATTATCCTGCTAGGGGTCTTTCAAAATGTTCTAAATATTTTATTAAACGTTATTGTTTCTAAAGATATGTAAATAAATTGAAATCCGATCGATTGAGAAAAAAGGATATGCAGCTGCATGGACATTGGGAGATATATCATATGACGTAACATAGATAATAACGTGAAAATGTCGTCGAAGGAGAACAAATCTGCTATTGTGCAAAAGACCATGCTGCAAACTCTGTGCGGTCATAGTGTACTCTAAAACTGATATCAATGCCCACTTGAATATATATCTACAGATGTGTTCCGCTTTTATGTCATACTATTTTTAAGGTGGTTTCATCGTTTTGGAAAGTTTGCGATTTCATGGAAGATGAACCACTTTCTGAAAGACCACTGTCTGCGATTGCTGAGTAGGAAGTGTCTGATGCAAGGAGGCATGTGCAATCGATGCTCGTTACACATTGGAAAATAATCTCTATTATCAGGGATATTAATTCTTGGACGATAAGTCTTTATGCACTTGCTAAACACGAAGAGTGACCAGCGACATCTGAATGAGATCAGATAGTCACAAGTGATGAAACACTTGTTTTGGTTTGTAACACAACATAAGAGAAAATATAAAGTTTGGGTCAGAGAAAAGGGGCAGAGACAACAAATCGCTGGACGTAATGGGACTTGCAATAGAGTTCTGTGATGATTATTTTTCTATGCAGTAGGCTCGAACGTCTTGGTTCATATGCCTGACTCTGCTAGTGCCACGAGACATTGGCATGGTTTGAAAGTGTTCTTAGATATTAAACACGCTATCGAACCATCCGTCGCGCACCAATGCCCCAAGTATCCATCTATTCCATGACAACACACTGGCGCATAAAATCAGCCGTCGTAAAGGACTTCTTGAATGAATACGGCAATCAAGCTTCGCCACATAAAACAAAAGACTTACTTCAATACAAAATGTCCATCTTCGCTAGCCAAGGTTCAACATGTTGACCAATCTACACCATGGCGGATCGATCCGATATTGTTTTGCTTTACGATAACAACATCTATTGGATTTCACGAATTGCCTCCCTTAGTATATAATGCCATCTAACCATCTAACCAATAGCTTGTAATAGTGGTGCATTGTACATCGGTCGAAATGTTGGATGTAGTTGACTTCAAAAAGATAATTTGTAAGTTTACCATCAAAAGTCTGACTGCCAGATAGAAGCCATTACAAGCGTATTTGAGGGGACGGATGCACCGGCAGTGGAAAATCGCTTATTTATAAATCCATTCCAGCAGTGTGCTCCTATTGTCTCTACCATGGAAGAACAGCAGTCAAATTTGAACAACTAGATTTTATTTGTATGCAGTGCCACTGAGTCCAGTGAAATTCAAACTGGCAAGCGAAGATGCAAATATCACAATGGAGATTATATAAATGGATCTTGTTTATATTAATTATTGTCTTACCAATTAATGCTCACTGGTATATTCAAATGATATCCAGATCGCATATGTAAATGATTTTCCTCAAAACTAAAGAGAAAATAACACGTGACCTATAAAAGATGTTCATTTTTTCTAATCTTGGCTACGTATACGATAATAGAGTAAATAATAACAGCTGATAATTGTATTTCTTGAAGATAAACTTGCCATTGAAAAATGAACCTAATACTCTCGACTATGGACGAATTTATTATCCTTTAGAAAAGGTAACTTCAGCATGATATATTAGTAAATTTTCTTGCGAAACGGATTGACGGTTTTATCGATCCCAAATCAATTAAGGGTCTGTCTTCGCATCTTTATGTCGTTTCTGGCTTATCAGGTACATCGTTTAAAAACTGCGTTTTAAGTGTTGTTTATGTGATTTTGCCGAGAGAAAGAAGAACCTAGAACGCAATGTGTTTCTAATGGCAAAGCAAAATAATTTGCTGCTTCTCTAAAGCATTAAAGTCAATACTGTAATGACAGTTAGTTAGTGATTTGTGTGCCGGATGCGCATCCGCAGTTCGAATCCTGCTCAGACCAGACTAAATCGGCCACTGATGTGTGCTTTGGACTCCTGTTGCTTTAATGCGATATAACCTTTTATATGTTGATGAAACGGTTGGATCTACACATTGATACTCTTAGCACATTTTTGTATTAATTACAGTTACTGACTTCACCAATTAACCTGGTGCTTAAACAAAAATTTGTATTATGTTCCACTGAAGTTATTTAAAATGAAATAGAAATAATAATAAAAAATAACACAAAGAGTCAACTAACGTAATAAAAAATATTTAAAAAAAACAACAACTGCATGCTGATATTAAATCGTCTAACGTAACTAGTTGTAAAGTACGTCATGTAGAATTTTAAAAAAAACAAATAAAAATATAAAAAACCCATTTTTTTTGCATTGCAGATTCTCACTATATTTTCTTTTTTCTGATGTCGTGCCTGACATTATTTTCTTTTATTGTAATTTTCAATTATACCTTTGTACTGTAATTTTGAATTTCATTCAATGTTGTGAAATGTATTTTTCATTGTATTCCTTTCAATAATAACAATAAGGTTGCATTGTTCATCTACTATACTTATATCACACAGCATATAATAGTATTTTCTTAATGTATATATTTTATTAATTTCTCATTAATGAACCACAATGAATTTTGTTTTCATTGCCTTTTACTATTTCTCAACCTTATCAATGCATTGTATTTTTGTATTTTTAATATTTTTACCTTTTTGTATACTTGTATTTTTTCTTTTCGAGCCTCGAGGACTCGGCTCAAATAACGCAGAAGGTATTATTAAGATAACAATTTTTAAAAGAAATAAGAACATCTAAGTTGTGTTAGACTATGTGAAAATATTAGAGAAAAAACAGTCTGCTCATATGTACTGAATTAACCTGTCGGTCACACTAATGTATATTGTCATTATTGCCTTCAGCAATAGGTTTGGCATGTAGGATCAAAAAGGGGGAGCCCGGTTCAAAAGTTCATAGCGAATGAAACAATAACACGATTTACCTGTTAAAGCCCGCGGTCTTTATAAACTGTCACAAATTGACTCGGCAAATTGATAACTGTCTGGTTTAACTGTCTGGTTTAAAAGTTCATGGAAGCTAAATTGCCTCACGTGCAACAAATGTAAGCATCATACGACTTTAAAGGTCATTCGCTTAAGAGACAAACCTTTAGATCTCTCTCTGCTTTTTGGACTAGAAACAAGGGCATCCTTGAATTTTACACATGGACATGCGTGACTTTAACCAAGGTCGTGCGTGTTCTTAAAACTCTGAGTATAAAAAGGCAGAAACCCTTGTATATTTTAATTGGAAGTCCAAAAGCAAAACAGATCGTCTGTTTGTATTTTACAGGTAAGAAATTTCTGTTTTGTTACTCACCCTTAAAGGTTAAAGCTTTCTGTGGTAACCAGTCATCGTAATTTCGTTTTGAGTTCTCTTTTTAATTTACTATTATAATGTAACGGTATATGGTATTACTTTTAAGATTTGATGTTTATTTGTATTTATATGAATTTACTTCTAGCTTCATGCTAAACTTTACTTAAGAAATAAAACTATTCTTTGGTTATTGAACTCTAATGTTCAATGATCTTTTCCAGGTCGTTATTCTAAATTAAATGAAAGAAAATACATTTCTTTATGGCATTAATCGCAAATATTGAATTTTAGGCTCTCTGAATACAAGTAATATCTAATCACTTGTATGGTATTCTAAAAGGCATAAAACTTTACAAGCACATAAAGTTGGAGTTCATATGAAAATTATTTAATATGTATTGTAATATGTATTTTATGTATTTCTCAATATAAAGGTTTTATATGTTGTATCTTTAGAATGTAGTTTATATATATCAATAAAGAATTGGAAGTCCAAAAGCAAGACAGATCGTCTGTTTGTATTTTACAGCGATCCCACCTCTTCGCAGCCAAGCATTCCCCACAAAAAGATGTAACCGTATCTACACCATCATATGTGACACCTTATTCTTAAGAATGCCGAACATTCTTCCCGTAACTAGGCATGAGAAGAAGGTTATGATGGAAAACGTCTAAACAACAACAACAGTCAATTCGCATCATAATACAGCTATATGATGGTAAATCCATGGTCGTCATCTACAACCTAATTAAGCATTTAAAAAAGAAAGAAAATATCACAGATTGTTGTTGTTAATTAAAATGCAGATTAGAACAAAGGCAAGGTGTCCCATTCAAAACACGATTTTCTCTCTCTCTCTCTCTCTCTCTCTCTCTCTCTCTCTCTCTCTCTCTCTCTCTCTCTCTCTCTCTCTCTCTCTGTTGTTGTTGTTGTTGGGCTTAACGCCACTTTTCAGCACACGATAGGCTATTCATGGCGGCCAGTATTAATGGTGGAGGAACAAACCGGGAAATCACCGGAAAGAACCACCGACCCAAGAGAAGCTACTGGCAAGCTTTCTCACATATCCACATTCTCCGAATCCTAGACTCGAACCCACGCAGACAGAGGTGAGATGGCAGCGATCCGTAACGGACAGCGCATTAGACCACTCGGCCACTCGGGGCCCCCGAACTTATTGACATAAGGAGGTTCGATTAATACCTGTTAAAATTAAAAGCAGTAGGAATCAACATAAACCGAGTTGCACCTCATATACATAGATGTTTCAATCTTAAGTAGGAGCCCGCATCAAATCATGTAGGTACTTTGTTAGGGGACTACGGAATTTGACCGCGCGCGCGCGTGTGTGTGTGTATGTGTGATTTAGATTATTAACGTAGCTTTAACACTTTTTAAGTCATATCGCTACGATGTCTGCAGTGAGATAGTTTATAGTGATGTCTAGCACTGGAGCATCATGCCGCAGGCATGTAGTATGATGTCCCACCCAGTCACATTATCCTGACACTAGGTCGACCAGTCCTAACACTAACTTCTTAATGCTGAGCGCCAAGCGAGGGAGTTATTAATACCAATTTATTATTTTTTTGGTATGATTCGGCCGGGGTTCGAACCCACGACCTATTGCATTTGAGGCGGACGCTCTAGCCACTAGGCCACGAATTGTACCTAGTAACGAGGAATAACTTTAAATGGATGGGCACATTCGAAAGTTAGCGAATGTTATCTGCGCCAATACAGACGGTCTGAAATGCACAGACATGAAAATATGTTTAAAAAAGACAATTAGATTGATCTAAATCTCCAAAATTTAGCAAAATTTGTGTAAGTTAAAATAGATCATATTCCTTCAGTATTTATTTGAAAAGCAAGCTACCTAGGCTTTTTTTAAAACATAATTTGTCTCTCCAGAAAAGCCAATTTAATCTCTGATCTTTAAACTCTGCAGATGTGCGGAATAATCCACGAAAAATCCATTTCATATCCACGTCAATCGAACCGAACTAAGATAACACTATCGATTTCATATGGAATATGTCATCTAATCGGTAAATTCTATTATACCGGTATACAGGAGAAATTGAATATTCGAGAATAAATTTTTAAATAAATTTGGCTTTTGCTAATGTTTCAAAACTGTATTTATATGAGAAGATGCTGAAAGTTGAAAATCGTTCAAAAGAATACAGAATTTAGGAGAAAAATTATTAGTAATAATATTACTCACCGCGTTGGAAAATGCCTTATGTGATACGAGAAAAGGTATGTTTGAATGCAAGTCCTGTTCTCAAATTTAACTAGATATTTTTTGCTCTAATACCTTTGTTGTCAAACAGATATGCCATGTATTCATAGTTTTCGAATACTTGAGGAGTTTAACACTGACTTTGATAAAACAAGATTGTCTAGGTGCTAAATAAACCCAATTAAGAGGTCGCAGACAAGAGCTTTCTGTCAAAGATTTCTCAAGCGAATGCCATTTCATTTAATGGAAAACTTAATCTCTGTTATGACGTGGGTAAGAACGAATACTATTTGTTGCCTATCAGAATGAATAATGATGTACGATCGAATTACATAGAAAATAACGTCCTGATTTGCAAGTACAATTGTCGACTATCAAGGCGTATTTTTCAGAGCGATTGACATCGATGCCCATTTCAAACAATAATCTGGAACTACTCTGGCTGATCTAGTGGTTATAGCATCTGCCTCGGATGAGAGATCGCGGGTTCGAGACCCGAGACTTAAAAAATGGTACTAGCAGCTGCCTCGCTAGGCGCTCAGCGTTAAGAGGTTAGTTTTAGGACTGGCCGGCCTGGTGTCAGGATAATGTGACTGAGTGGGATATCATGCAACATGTCTGCTGCATGATGCTCCAATGTTAGACATCATTATAAACTGCCACACTGCAGATATCTCAGCAATATTACTGAAACAGTGTTATAGCTACGTTAAAAATCCAATTCAAGTACACATACACACATGCGCGCGTTAATGATCTGCCTACCGCTAATATGAACTAAAAATTAGTATTCCTGTAGAATATACTTTTAAAGAAACCTGCTTTTGGGTTTAATTTTAATAGTTTGATATTTGATAGTTTTGTTTTTGTTTTATTTTCATATTTTGGAAACGATTAACAGGTGGGGTGTACTTTGCAAGTCTTGTTAAAGACAAATTGAAAGTAACATTTTTGATATAAACTATTGATATACAGCCAAAGAAATGATTTATGAAAGCCTAACAATTTATATTATCTTCTTCAGTTCAAAAGTGCAGACATTAAATAGCATGTCCTATGCAAAGTGCAAAAACAGACAAGCGGGTTTTACAGAATTTTTCATTTTGTAAAATAACTATATAGTCTCCGAGGTTGCCGATATTTCTACATAGCACAAATTTCAAACTACAGTGAAAATATATATTATAAACATGCTGAATTTACTGAGTTTTCAGAATTTATATAAATGTTCTTTTCAGTTTACATTGTAAAAGGTGTTGTAAAGTGTTTCATTATATATTTTGTGGTGAAATATTGAAATATATAAATCTGAGGGAAAATATGGCTGTATCACTCTTGAAATTATTTTCCTTATATCTTAAAAAGTATAGCTGTACACATTTTTAGCAAAATATAATAATTACATATAGTAATAAAATTAAATGACGATTTGAACTGTCATCACAATCACAATCAAGTCTGAAAGTGATTAAGAACGACTGTCAATGACTGGAGTAGATTGCAAACCGGAACTAATAACATTCGAAATTAGGGTGCAGCATCTCCTGCAGAATTAAACTGCATCCCTATCAACACGAGGAAATAAATGAAATGCCTCACAAGGAAACTCACAATCAGTAAAATCTCTTGTTTAATGATGTCGTTCTGACATGTTATTATATTACTCCCACCCCAGAATTTTGAATGTATAAATCGACGCAAGAATGTTAACGAAATTAAGCATCTCCTTTATGTTTATTTGAAAACATTGATTAATTTGACAAAATACACAATCTGAAGCAATTTATGTACAATCTAAATTTGCCCAAAAACTCGTTGTCATAATTTTCTTCTAAAATTTTGATCTTATTTTATTGATGTCGCAATATAGGAGTTAATCGCATTGACACAAAATGGAGAAACACATCCAATCAATTTTTGCCTTCAAAACGTATAGATAACAACAATAGTATCAATTGTTTTTGATCAGATATAAGGAAATATTTCACTCGTGGAGTGAAACATTTTGGATTGTTACTGATGGCCTTGCCACTCGTGACAACACAATGTTTCCACTTAACTCGTGATATAATGCCTTATATCTGCGAAAAATCAAAGATATTCTCTATATGTTGAAATACGTGTTGTAAAGTGTTACATTGAAAAATGTTTCCAAAATTGTTTTGTTCAAAAATGTGTTTAAAAGTGTCACATTGAACAATGTTTTGTAAAGCGTTCTGAAGTTTGCGTTACTTTTTCAATTCTGCGAAACGTTCATAACGAGGTGAAAGTCAAAATCAAGTGATTGTCACTAAAGATGATATTTATAAGTTACAAATTATTTCAATAGAGCTTATGTCAAAAACATCGACTTGAGATTCTGTATGTCATCAATAAATGACAGTGTTTGCTCTGAAGTGTTTGCTCTAATGTAATATCTAGATTTAGATATATCAAACATTCGATAAAGTATTAAGGTCTTTTAGTGACTGTTATGCGTAATCAAAATTTCACAAAAAAATAAAAGTAGGTCAGCATATTGTGTACGTATTCGATGAATGGAAGATCCGGATAGATACAAACTTGCCAGAAGCTTACATTGATTGACTGTTAATTGGATTATTTGTATGAAACTGCTTATATTAGGATTATATGAGCCATTTGGGAAATATTTCTTGTCAGTGTATGAAGATGTGGTCTATTCAAGAACTAATGTTATTCTAAATTTAGATACAATTCATGAGTAGGGTACTAGGTCGTCTAAATTTTGTTCATCCAGCAATTTTACTTGTTCTGTGTAAATGTTTAATTACACACTCATGGGGGTCGAAAAAGACCCCAACACAAATAGCAATATTGGTAAACACACAGCTTACCTATTATTGACAATAACGTGCTGTATTTAACTGGAAGGAAAGCATATATCTTAATTAAATAGAAAACATTGAACGTATTTAATCAACAAATTGAATACAATCAAAGGTTTATAATACTATAAGCTTTTATGTTTTAAATTAATTTGGTAAAGAATGAAAATACTGTATTCAGGAATTTAACTTAAAAAGCATACTGTGTACCTATGCCGTTAACACTGCAGGGAACACTTAGAAGAAGTGACATGTAGTTACTCGCAAAAGCCATTTTTAAGTTACCTCTGAGATACCAAACACTGATCTCTGGCTTTACTGGAGAAGCTTTATTATTGTTTTTAATGTTAACATATCCAATACTTATAATATGTATCGTTGCGTAATGTAACATATCCAACGTTTATGATGCGTATCGTTGCGGAATGTTAACATTTCCAGTGTTTAAGACGGGTATCTTTGGAAAATATGCTGCTATCGCGAAAAACTCTTAGATAATCTCTCACTTTGCGGGATGAATCTGGGGTGGTGCTGTTTATTCTAAAAACTTTGTGGTGAATTAAGAAACATTTAAATAGTAACACTTTTGCGTGATTTCATGTTTATTAAAGACCCAACACCTTACAAGAAAAACATAGCTTTCATCAACAGTATGACTATGGAATAAACAGAATCCTAATAAAATTAGAGATGATCGAAATACTCTGTGGCACACCAATCTTGTCAATTTGAATCATACAATACGTCGTTCTCCTTTTTTTCTTTTCTTGTTCTCAAATGATTGTCGTCTTCACAATCGAGCTTGGCTTGCTTGGCTGCGTTTTGGTGTGTTACAACATAGCAACACATGGAGGTTATTCACTGTCGAGATAATTCAAGTACCTTGCCCAGGGTCACTATTCTGTAGCTGACAATATTGAAGGATTCGATTTCGCACCATTTCGGTCGTGAGTTGAGTACGTTAACCACAAAGTCACTGTAGATTGATGGAAGTTACATTCAAGCAAAGTTGAATTATAAAATGTGACCAGCATTAAAAAAACATGGCAATTTTGTTTTAATTTTAATCACAAAATTATCGAAGCAACATAAATTTTAAAATGAACCCCACTAAGAAAAAGTACAAAAATATTGCAATTTACAGATAATAATATATGATGATTGCTGAAAAACATTCCACCAATTTTGTATTTTTATTAATCTTGAGGCAATTTTTAAATAAGAATGATCTCTAAATAATAAACTGGGTATACGTCGCTGGTTTTCGAATTCAAAGAGTAACTATGAAATATACTCGAGACGACATTACCTAGTATCGAAGACCGATGTATCTAACGTACTTATCTTTTCATCTCCGTAAAAAGTACCTATCGAGAAAGCGCCTTAACGCGACTAAGTCAACTTAATCTTCGAACTGGCACGACTCAACATTTATAATTTTATCAGAACACATACTGACTGTTGCCAACACAGCTGGACAGTTCTTTGAGATTTGAACAAGATCAAAACATGTACTACCACTGTGAGCGTCGTATTACGTCATATATATATATATATATATATATATATATATATATATATATATATATATATATATATATATATATAACCAGTTAGTGTAGCTTCTCCGGTGACCTAGTGGTTAGAGCGTCCGCCTCATATAGGAGAGGTCGTGGGTTTGATCCCCGGTCGAGTCATACCAAAGACTTACAAAAATGGTACTAACAGCTTCCTCGCTTTGGCGCTCAGCATTAAAAGATTAGTGTTAGGACTGGTCGGTCTGGTGTCAGGATAATGCTACATGTCTGCGGCATGATGCCCCAGTGCTAGACATTACTATAAATTGCCACACTGCAAACATCGTAACGATATGACTAAAAATTGGTAAAAATCATAATTACATCACATACCAGTTAGTGTAATCTTCCTATAGCCTCCTCTTTTGTTCCTCCTGTCAGATTTTATAGCTTTTCCAAGTCACATAGTCATAACTTCCATTGTGTGTCTGATAGTGGAAATACTGGTTATAATTGATGGTAAAAGCATACGTCATGTACCAAACAAGTAAATTTACTCTAGAATCAGTGATCACTTCACTCCATAGCAATATTATTGAAATCTCTTTCTTCTAGTGTTTGCCATAATTTATAGTAAAACTCGACAACTGTAGATCTGACGGCAAGAATACATGAATTCCAGCTCGTGACTTTTGGCTGTATCTGCCGTCCAAGAGTTTCTTTACATTCGAGCGGGAAACTATTTTTGTTGCAAGTTGAACTAAAACTAACGCATATACTGTAATCAATTAAGAGCGTCGATGGAACATTGCATGTTGAAGGAATTAGCTACCATTTTAACATAATTTATTTCAGCTTTCTCATTACAAAAGTACAATATTATTAGGAACAAATATATTGACTGGTAAAGTTGAGAAGTAATACTAACTATAGAAGTCATGTATGTGTAACCAATTAGTATAATTAAGCTAACTATAATATAAATTTCTGACCTAAGTGCCTTCTAGCGTTCAATTCTTGGCAACTAAAGTGTACATATTCAAATAATTAATATTTTCACTATCTTGCTGATGTTTATATAAGGTTTTATTTCATTGTTGTATTGTATATTTGAATATTTCTCAATGTGAAAGTTCAAGTTCGCTAATTTAGATCGATCATTGTTCTACATATCTGCATTAAGGGTGGTGTGGTGTTTATCATTTTTAACGTAGCTTTAACAATTTTTCATTTATATCGCTACGATGTCTGCAGTGTGGCAGTTTATAGTGATGTCTAGCACAGGGGCATCATGCCGCAGACATGTAGCATGATGTCCCACCCAGTCACATTATCCTGATACCAGGCCGACCAGTCCTAACACTAACTTCTTAATGCTGAGCGTCAAGCGAGGCAGCTGTTAGTACCATTTTTGTAAGTCTTTTGGTATGACTCGACCGGGGATCGAACCCACGACCTCCCGCATCCGAGGCGGGTGCCATAACCACTAGGCCACCGAAGACTGCATTAAGCCATACCATCCTCGAGAATTGTTAGTTTCTTACGGATAACAAAGAAAAAAACTCTTTACAAAGATCAGTATAAATAATAACATTTAGACAAAATTTTGATCAATTTGTTTCAAGGGCAAAATTCTCTTTGGAATTGATTACGTTTAGCATTTTACGTGTACTTACGATTAACTTAAAAAGCAGACAATGAAGATAGAAATTTCCTTTATAGTTATATATCAAATTTCTTGTTGGTGTTACGTCATGAAAAGCATTGTTACAATATTTACATTTACATTTTCATTTACATTTATTATGTACTTACCTTATAAGGAGACAAAATTCTTATGGACTCGTGAATTCGCTACCTGGACGAGTGACTCAATTTGCTTCCAGTGCTATTCCGTTGCCTGTATATTTACTCCATTCGTACCTCATTCGAGTATATTAAAGTCTGCGATATCAAATGAAAGCACCAGCAACAGCCTTTGTCACTATTGCAGGATTCTAAGTTCAGAACCTAAAGCCTCCCTAAGCAATGCAAACCAATTGCAGTGAAACAACAGTGTCAGCAGTGCAAACAGTAGTGTGAAAGAACGGGTTTTTTATTTTCTTTACCGATTTGGGTCAATACCTTTAAAATTATAACTTTCCCCGTTTTTTAATCCCGAATGTATCGCGAGTGTAATCATTACTTGATTAAATGTGTCCGCGCGCGGTAAGCATCCCACGAGAAAACTACAACGGGCATCTCCTTTTTCCAGTTTATTGCAGATGTAGATGGCGAGTCGCATCGCTGTTGCATTGGTCTAACTGTGGTGCGTTTTCACGGAATATATTATCTGAATTTACTTTTTTAAGTCTGTGCCTGACTCTTAAAGAAGAATAGAACCTTTTTTCAGACTGAATTTTCAATAACATCATTTAACCACATCGATGTTAAAAATCAAACTTTTGTTGGTCGATGTGCCAATTTAATAAGTTTGAGACACATAATTGTTATCCTGCAGTGTCTATGAGTGCAAGTTTAGGCGCACAATCCTCATAATTATTTAGAAAGTGTCATTGCACAAGAAAGAAACCATTGCAAAATAAATAATTATTTCGCTAAAAAAAATAACAGGTCATGGATAACAATTCTAAAATGAGCTTGCATTTACATTGGCAGCAGCGTAGATATGAATCACACGTTTTTCAGCCTGTATGTTAAGGTTACATATGAGGTGTTTTCTCCTACTTGGTCTAATTGGCTTGAGCTTCATACGCTTGATCAAGACATTCCAAGTTCGAATCACGGTTGCTAAAGAATTATTTTATTAACTAAGGAAATGTTGAGCATTGGCAGAGTTGCACAGAAAAATGAAAGTCAAATCTGACGCTGTTTTCTCAGTGTTGATTATACTATTTACCGGGCACAGATAATTCTTTGCGAAGTAGCACTGTCTAGGATGCCATTTGGCAACATGAGATTTCATTCAGAGTTGCAAATTTACACACCCGTAATCGCCACTGACCAAAATATGTCTGACGACAGGAAGCAAATATGTGCAACAAAATAAGATTACAGCGTCCATTTCATTATCAAATAAATTATTACCGACAAATGAAACAATCACAGTGTTACGTAATGTTGAATACACTACTGTCTGAACTCAAAAATTATCCTAAAACATTCGGGAATTAATTTACCGGTGCAGTGGTATATTTGTGCCGCCACAGAAAATATCAAACAGCTCTACAGCCTGAATACTTCGGATCGATTTATCAACGAAACTATTGTACAATGTTTTAAATACGTATAAGGTGCACTTCATAAATTAAAAATGTTAGAGATAAAGTTTTCTCACCTACGCGACAGAGCAATCTGTTTTGCTAACTTGACTTATCTTAGCTCGGTCTGGTTGTCTCAGTCCGATCGTCTCAGTCATGGTATCCACTCACTAAGAATGAATTTTTAAAAAGAAAAAAAAAACCTCTCGCTATCTTCTGCTGTTCCAGAGTTGTTACAAAATCATAACAACATTAAATATATAACAAAAAGAAATTCACTCCTAAAAGTCTCTTCAAATTTTTACAACACGCCATTGTTACGTATATGTAATTTAATTGCTTGTGTGTTAGTTTTAAATTCTCTTTTATTTTATTTTTATTTTCATTACATGTTTTTGTAATAACGTTAGGCTTTTTTGTCGGAAATTCAGTTTTATGTTTAGACATGATGGACACGCAGTCTATAGCTACATTATAATTTAGTAGACCTAGTTCCTGACCTTGGTTCTGAATTCGTAAATACTGAGTGAAAATCATTGGTCATTATCAAGGTCATGTTCGGCCCACGTGTTCGTTCTGTTGTAAACAAATCTTTATTATTTTTTATTTAATTTTATAGTAAGATTTGTTCGATGCGACCAAAATTAATCCATAGCATACGTTTCAATTGTCTTATGGGCTTTCTGCGCAATTCGAATTAGGTGACCACGTGACCCCATCACGTGATAAAAAATTGTGTGTACAACTAGCGTTCATAGTGTTTTTCAGGCAGTTGTATTGCATACCTTTTGGAGATCAAAGAGTATTTTGTACTGTGATCATTTGAGTTGCAATTTTTATCTAAATTAATTTATTTTTCCTGGAAATATAAGACCTCTTCATCAAATTATTGGACAAAGACATTTATTTGAAATTATTCAGAATTCTAAAGCCATCGGTACAATACCCCATTCATCTGACGTCATCGTCCTCCATATTGGACCTTCATCGGGATTCGAACCTTGATTTAATTAGAACATTTTAGTGATATGACTTATATTGTTCATTTTAGGATTAAGTTTTGGATTACATTCACAAACCGCAAGTCAGTTTTGATATTTTTCCCTTTTTCTTCTTTGGAAAAAAAATTATTTTGTTAGAATTTACAAAGCTTGGGAAATTCCATTAGCACAGCAGCGAAATCACTGCCGAATGTTTAGTTTAGATCATACGCGTCAACGGCATTTCCTGGTACCTGAACCGGAAGTTCCCAGGAACGTAAGCTTTTTTGCTCCAAACAAAGTACAAGCTCAAACGAGTTCGACTCTATCAATAATTTGTGCGTAATTATACACATCATGAAGGCATGAGTATAAGCATACAATTGATATCCAATATGTCATCAATGCGAAAATGAAAATCTCAAAGACTGCACTGTCATTGACATCTCAGCGCGTTCAAAGTCTCTGTGTACCGAGCGTAATTCCAACTAAGGTTCGTGTGCTGATCATTTGACGGGTCATACCACAACTGTTGCTGAATTTGATCATGCGATGGCTAATGTGAGACTTGTAGCACATGATTGCACCATCGGCGTCCGATCAATCGTGTAATGTCGTACGCAGGAATCACGCGCTTGCGTGACAAGTAACTGATGGATCGCCGGCTGTCTAGTTCTTTTACTCAATCGATTCTATTTCCCACCGTTGACGACGATAGCATGGTCACGAATACTCTTACCATGTACGATGATGTTAAAAACGCACATGTGATCTTTGTCATCCACCAATACATTCAAACATCCAAGTGTGATCCAGGCCAAATGTAACATGATCAATATGCTTCGGCAGGTTTACAGGTATAACCTTGCAAACGTTCACTGAAACTGGAGTGCTGTCGACTATTCTATCGATGAAACTCGGAATATTTTCGCGAAGTCACCAAGGACCTGATAAAGTTTCATCACAATTGAGCTGACCAGTGTCGTTGATATAGTATAGACTGCTGGCTGACTCCACAAAGCAGTCCGCGAACAATTAGGACTTATCTTTGACTATTCTAATGTACGCGAACGCGTCCAAGCTAAACTTCAATAGCGGAAATCCGTATGGGATGCAAGTTAAAGGAAACGCTGCCAGAAAATATATAACTAGATAGGCTGTCAAAGATCGTGGACTTACAGTTCGTGAATATAATTCAAAATTAGATCCTAAGAATGAAAACACAAGTCCTATCACTAAATAGTCCTATTAGAATCCGGGTTCGAGTCCCGACGACGTACAATATACCAATATACCAATGACAACAACTCCTCACTTGAATCGCAATCTTTAATTCCGAAAAACTCCAGATTAAATTTCCATTAATATCTTTCAGACTTTTTATTAAAAAAAGTCAACTTGTTGACTTTCTGGGGGTATACATTATTAAATCCAAACATCAGACGAGGAACAAACAATCTGGTAACAAAAAAAAATAATACACCTTGTTCCTTCAAGGTGCTAGAATGACTCTGTCTAAAAATATTAGGAATGCGTATTTAAAGCCTCAGACATCATTTCAAGTCTCACAAGATTGGTCATGTGGTGTCTTACTGCACTTACTTTTGCACGCATGTCAGTTTGTCCCCACTCAAGAACCAATCATATAAACGTTGTTTACACAGTGATCACAAAAAGAAGTATGCCCCCTGATTCTGACCAATCATTTTAACTTCCTGTTGACATTTTTTCCAGCGCAAGACAAACTAGGGTAGCTAAATGATAATTTTCACGTAATACTACTTCATCATAAATAAACAACATTTAATAAAAGAAAATAATAACACCCATAATGAGTTATAGGGAGCTTCCCATTCTTCGCAAAATCAATGCAGCAATGTAGCAAACACAATATCGATGATTACATTCACTAATCAGGCATTGCAATAGCAAAATATAAACACATGTGTGTTATCTTATATGCTTTGTGTGTACTCGTCTGAGCAAGAACCGGTGGCTTTGGTGTTGCTCGAAAAACGACAAAGGCAAGAAACATTGATACACAAGTCATATGGGCTATATTGATAGCATATGGTGTTATCCGGCGGCACTGGAAAATTAATTTCGTTACGGCTGCACAAACAAGTACTTCTTAATTGGGACAGCACAAAATAGTCTCAGAACAGTGAAGGTAGCAAGCTATATTCAGTGGAAATCGGAGATAAAAGGATGACTGTAACCGAGTTCGATATCGTGGTGGCGGAAATGAGAAACGTCTGACGACTACAGATACA